ACATATTAAAAAAAATAAAAATAACATTTTTTCAAATATTTCATAATTCAAATTTTTTATAATTTAAACTATTCTTTTTATAATTTTTTTTTTTATTAGAAATAATATATATGTAACAATTTAATCACTTTTCAGAAACAACACATTACGATACATAATATTGGTAGCGATAACATGTGCGTTTGTCATTATGTCTTCGCTGTTTACTGACTTTAGACACAAGAAACTAAAGTACAGGGAATGGATACCATTTGACTATTCATCTTATGTGGTATTTTGTTTTGCATACGCTCAACAAATGATAACTGCATGTCATAGCGCCATCGTAAATGTCGCAATAGATAGTCTCATGTGCGGATTCTTGATACACATATGTTGTCAAATTGAAATCTTGAAATATCGCCTAAAAAAATTTTTGGACAAGCAACTTATTCTGGGTTATTGCATATGCCATCATAATCGAATTTTTGAGTTAGTTATTATTTAAATGCCGGAAAATTATATATATCATTCAACATTGCTACTATGTGTGAGTTATTTAACAAAACTGTGGTGGAAATCATATATCTCCTTAATTTCTATTTTCATTGATTATAAAGAAAAATTAAACAAAATTTATATAATTTTGGAATGACTAATATAATTGCAAAATCATCAAAATATATTTTACTATTTATACTGTTTATTCATATTTTATAATTCATATTGTTTTAAATATAATTGTCTAATATAATTATATATTGCATACTGATTTCTACTATGTTTTTATCACGATATTTAGTATGAACATTTTTATTAGTGCTTTATTAATACTTTAATCTGTTAATTAGTTCTCGTATATATGTCATGAATTAGTTTATAATTCTTGATTCTAATCTATGATATTTGCAATAACATTGATCTTTATATCCTCTAAACTATCTTTAGACTCTTTAAACTATTATTTATATGCTTAATATATATAAATATTATGACTTTATGTAAATAAAATCTTGATTGCAGATTTGCGCAGATAGTGAATATAAAATTTACCAAAATAATCGGATTTCAATTTATGGCAAGTATGATGATATTTTGTTCAAATTTGTACCAACTGACTAAATCAACTTTAAATGCGGATCATTTTTCGTTAATTTTATATACAGGCTGTATGTTAACGCAGATATTTATTTATTGCTGGTTTGGAAACAAAGTTAAATTAAAGGTAGGCCTAAAGATTATTAGAAACAATAAATATATAATTATATTAAATATTATATTCCATAGAGTCTTCAATTAGTAGATAGTATTTTTCAAATGGAGTGGCTAATCATGGACAATAGTGTAAAAAAGAGCTTATTAATAATTATGAAACGTGCAATGATACCCATTGAAATTTCTACTGTATATATCCTGACCATGAATCTGGATTCCTTTGTAGCGGTCAGTATAAACATTTATCTTAATGTATAAAATATAATTTGCCTAAGTAATTTTAAAGTACCTTAAAAATTTCATTGCTGTTTATAACAACGCACCGTGCAATATATTTAATTATCAATAAATAAAGTCACGTTTCATAAATTCACTAATTACTTTTATAAATTTGCTTATATAAATTATTATTGATCTATATATAAATATTATTGTACTTGTAATAATCATAAGTTAATTTTTTATTATTTCAGTTGCTTAAAACCTCATACTCTGTTTATAATTTATTAACGCAAGTACAATAAAAATAAAAATTAAAAATTAAGCAAAATGAAGTGTATTTTAGATTAAGTAGCACAAAACAATTATAAATAAATGGTAATAAGATTGTAATAATTCTAATATTTATTCTATTTTTAGGAATAGTTGTA